TGTATGTGCCCTACTTCTCAGAGCTCGTTTTTCTTGTCACTAAAAATATTCACTGATATGCTGCCATCCTCTTCCCTCAACAAAGCGAACAACATATCTTGCTGTCGACTTTTACTTTATCTCGTGTTCATACATAGCCCTAAAATTTCAACGTCTGTCTTATGCAAAACACATCACTGTGGACCAGATGTGAAAACATTCAATGTAAGCAAATTTCGAAACTGCTAAGGCCTAGTGAAGAATCACTGAGCTGGTATTCCCTCCAGGAGTAAAGACAAATCCAAGTTGTCAGTAGGCGATGCAGCGTTGTTTAAACATACTGGAAGAATTGCTGCCCCTATCAGCAATAGCTAATCGAAGCGTAGCAAATTAACGGCTCCGATGTTTGCTAGCTGTAAGTGAAAAGCACCAGTGATGTGTAATTTATTGCTGAGAATTAAAATGAATTTTGTTGCCTTTCAAAAGGCAAAATCCAATTTGTATTTCATCTCTAATAATGTAGAAAAAGAATCCTCCCAAAGGCACTTTTGGGAAATGCCAGTGTGCTTTTTGCAATTGCATGCTTGCAGTTCACGATAAAACGTAAAAGTATTAGTGATGAAATTACTGGAAAATTTCATCTAGGTTCGTAGAGTCGGATAAAGATGCGACAACAAGACCGCTAATAATATGGTTCAGCGGTGGGCCAGGATGTTCGTCGGTGGTGGCACTTCTCAATGCAATTGGTCCATTCGAATTCGCGCAAAATGGACATTTGCAACTAAATCCTTACTCGTGGCATAAGGTTTGGCTACTTTCGGGTACTTCAACTGATCTGCTTGTTTGCACGGCTTTAAACTCATTCTCAAGAATTTCTGACTGCTGCGTGTCTATTGCATTACCAGCCCTCAGCAACATTTCACCGGTTGCCCATTGGTGATGCGCTGTCGCACAGGCTCCTTTTGATTGCCCAGTTGCCAGTCATAAAGAGAAACTTTCAAAATATCAAATCAAGTAATTAATTCGGAGCAGTACGACCCAGCCTGAATGTATTAAGAAACAGGAATTAGGCAGGGAAGAAAGAAAAACAGGAGCAGAGGGAGAGAGTGAAGTAAAACATTTCGATCCTTTAAGTTATTAAGCTTTAACTCAATACTGCAACAAGATCTCGTCAGTCTAACGATTGCAATGCTTCAAGAAGAGAAAAGAATAGAAAAAGAAAAGAGAACAAAAACAGAAAGAGAGAGGGGACAAAGCTAACAGGAAGAAGAAAAAGGAAAAGGAAAGATAGGAAGAAGAAAAAGCGAAAAGAATCATGAAAGAGTGTAATAAAAATAATGATTGATTTAGATGGCATCTATAGCTTTTGTCGAATCACCTGTTGGTGTTGGTTTCTCGCATTCCACTAATAAACGGGAAAAAATTAAGTATAGCGACACGGAGGTAATATATTTAAGTAATTTTAATCAACTCGGAAACCTTTGTCTGACGAGATTCACTTATGAACTGAAAAAGAAATATGCGACTCATTGGACCGGAGCATTCTGTTCTGTTAATTAATATTTTTTTTAATGCCAAATTCGATTTTATTAAAATTTTTATGCATGCTTTAAATGACAAATTTTTTCACGTATCACCAACGAAAATCTTCATTTCAACAATTTTTGAGAAGTAGCATTTATCACTAACACCTGTTAAAACGAATGCTTTTATTTCTAGAGCCACTTGTAGGGCCTGCGAGGAGAGAGCAATATTTTGGAAAGTACGGCTTAAAGTTTCGCTTTTTTAAAGTTTGAGCTGTCTTGGCTTCTTACCGTATAAACGAAAAATTAGGAAATTATTTATCTCCGAGACTCACTGCAGTAATCATCTTTCTACTTCTGAAAATTCCTCAGCGAAGTTCCTTTCCTCGAAGAACCAACCTGGTTACCTAGAAACGTAATAACACAAGACTCAATAGAAGCTCTCCGTCCCATTATTTAATACTTTTTTGTACAGCCCAAGCGCTGCATTAAGACCAAGACAAATCTATTTGATAAGATTTAGCGAAGTTCACTGATAGCATTGCGAGTAGAAACATGCCTGTTAGTGAGATCCCAATTGCAGACAATAAAGGAAAATTACGATGCAATCAAAGACTTTTTCAAAAAGCATCCAAAATTTCTCAAAAATCCACTGTATTTAATGGGTGAAAGCTACGCAGGCATCTTTGTTCCAGTGCTTGCAGTCCACATTCTGAAAAATGGCCAAGACAACAAATTCAATTTGAAGGTTCGTATTATTTCCTCCTTCGTAGAGCAACGTAGCATGCAAATGAAGCGGCAGAAAGTTACATCAGAAATGGTCGAAATTAGCAGTTTTGTGCAGTTTGGAAGTCTGCTTGTACAAACACATGCTGAGGAAGCCCATACTCTCAAGTACTGCATGTGGCCAAAGTCACTGGTGAATCCATTCCGGCCAGGAACTTAGATATCAGTTGTTTTACTATACAAAAATTTGTTAGGTACCCCTTGTCCACCCCCCAGGAGACTACCCTGGATCCGCCCATGGCCAAGGTACAGCTAGGCTTTGGTCAAGGGTCATAAAAAGGGATGAATAAAGCAAACAAAGTGAAAGGCAAAAGCTTTTTGGGATGGCGACAAAGCACCATCGGTTTGCCCAATCGATTCATGAATTAAACAAAACAATTCACTGGCAATCGGCTACAACAGCTTCCACGATGTAGCTTTTTTGAAGCTGACTGCTGCAGTTTGGGGAGTATGTAAAGTTCCTGAAAACTATGACTATAGACAAGTGCAGCTGGTGCAGCGTGTTAGTTAAAGGTATATGTAAGAAAGCACTTCATTGTAAAAAGACTCGTATAAAGCAAAATCAAGGCATATTTTGCAAGCAGCTCAAAATGTTAGAATCCCTGAAATTAAGATTGTTTCAAGCCATTTGAGAGTTTTGGAATCGTTTAAAGTTTGCTGAAAATTGAAGGGCCTAGCATTGGGAAATCCATTTCTCCACGAAGTGCTTAATATCCACACGTCACTGATATATGCATACGAGCATGCTCTGATTGATCAGCACGACTGGGACAATTTTGTGGAAGATTGCTGCCATGGCTGTGAAGATGGTTGTGACTTCAGGCCCGGCCAACTCCGGGGGCTCTGTCTTACTGCCGTAAGTCGTTCTTTTTTCTGCGAAATATTTTATTATTCACTGCTAATTTACGAAAAATTGCATGCGTCATTTCGAGTTACGGTTTGATGGCCTCAGACTGCTAAAGTTTTTCAAAGCCTTCATATATTCTGTGATGGCGCATCTGGCCTAGCATTAGCATGCATGCTTTTATAGACTTAGATCCATGTGCGGGGGAATCAGCTCTCGTTAATCCACAACGTTGATAGCCTTACTACGTCTACTGCCACAAACGGAGTCCTCTCTCGAAAACTGTTCTTAATCGGGAGGGAAATGAACTACACCTCTTTATGGGCAATGTCTTTCCATTGCAGCACCTGTCGCTATGCTCCGCACACAATTTGGAGCACATACGTATGCTGTGTCTATTTGCATGCACATACTTCTTTTGCCGGCTTTTGCAAGACTTTCACAACATTTTTTTGCGTTTCAAACTTATCTAACCATCTCCAGTTTGCTCTCAAGTAGCCTTCGAAAAAAAAGAAGATATTAGCAGCTTTGCTAACAAGCGGTTGCTGTTAATATGTTTCTTCCACTTGGCCTACTTCAAAACGCCTCACTCTGTAACGGGATGAAAAGAGCAAAAGCTTCTGCTGGTCGGCAGCATAGCGAGAAATTCTATCCAGGACAAACTCTAAATGGAAAATACATTTGGCATGCTGTTTAAATCAAAACTCTATGATGTCATCTTTAAAACAGTTACGCATACCTGGCTAGTTTAACGGAAACGGCAAAATTTGCTTGGCAATTTTATCCATAAAGTGTCCTGAAATAAATTAATTTATGAGTATTAATTAAGTAGTGATATTCCACTGAACTTTCTTAACATGCCACAAGAAAGCAGTTTTTTTAGGTAAATGACATGTATGCAGAAATTTGGAATTCCGGTTTA